GTGCGTTCAGGTGCATCGTCGGGATGTTACGTAAGACGCGCGCGAGCAGGAAATGAGCGGGTCGTGCCAAGATGCGGTGCTTTTTCCGCGTTTTCCACATTTTATCGCGAGTACGTACGTGTACAGGTAAGTTCTCTCGACTTGAACCGAGGATCCCTTAGACCCCAAGTACGGTCAGTCGTGATTTTTTTTTTTTTTTTTAATGGTATGATTGCATTAAGAGTATAGGCTTGAATAATTTAGTAAGTTAGAGTAGACCAAGACGGTGCAGGCAGAGCAAAGGTTTCGGTAACTGAAGGTAATTAGTTTCGAAAGAGCATACCAAATTTTGTTAAATGTTGGAGAAAAAATTGTTTCGTCGACAAAGTGAACCAAAATGATATTAATGTTTTAATTTATTTGAAATTGCTATAGCTTTGTTGTTGAACGGAGAAAAAAAAAATAGAGGGAAAAAGAAGCTACGCAATCACTCGGAATTTTTTATTTGAAATCCCGTTTTGAATGATAACAACTCCCGGAAGAGCTTAAAATTGCAAAAAACTTGATTTAATGTTTTAATCCACCCGGACGGTGCAATCCGACCTTTAAGGGATTAGAGCACTGGAAATTTTTACTCCAACATTTTCACAAAAAAAAAAAAAAAAAAAAAAAACTTAATACTTTATTAACGCAGCTTAAAAAGTTTTTTTACTCTATGCACCAACATATTAGCGTTTGAGCACGTCAAATGTAGTCTGTAAGCCACGTGTAAACCAAGTTGACCGAATCACACGAAAATGGCTACCGAGTGAAACAGACCCACCGCGCCAACGAGAAACGAAAAGGGCGAAAATCCGATTTCCATTTGTACTCTTTTGCCATTCCCTTTGAAGACGGGCACTTTTCATTAGTATACCCAACCGCGGCAAAACGCATCCCCCCCGGCCAACTCGTGCCCCGCGTGGCAAGGATAAAATATAGACGGTATGAAAAAAAAAAAAAAAAAAATCCCAACACGTGCTCTATATAGTCCTGAACGTCTGTGAACTCACGCGGTGGTATAGCCAGTGGTGACGGAAAATTGAAAAAGACAAAGAGTACAGAGGACTCTGCCGTGATGTGTACACGGAGAGCCCGAGGGACGGCGAGTTGTTTCTAATTTGGTATCGCGGTAAAAATCGACGCTCCGTCTAGACTGCGGCTCCGCCGGTCGCGCGTCACGGCAAGAGCCGGGAGGGAAGAATCGGGACGGAAAGAAAGAGGGAAAAGTTCGCGGTGGAAAAGAGACGGAAGCGCGTGAGACGGCTATACGTGTGCCATCAGGGGAGAGCTTTCGCAGCGGCTCTCGAGCGAAACACACCGGAAAACGGGACGCATCAATCTATTTATGTATTCCGCCTCGTTGATGCAAAAGGGAGAGGGATATGCAGCTATTCCGCCCGCTATGGCTCTACTCTCGTTTTTTCCCCCCTCACCCTGCGAGCTTTGCTCTTTCATCTTGTTCCGTTTCTGCGGACTCGCGCTAAAGATTATACCTGTACCTACACCGAAAGGTCTCTCTTCGTAACATCTCCCTCTTTTTGGCTCGTTTTCACTATGTTGCTGTGATTATTACGTTTTTACGGGGCCTTTTTTTTACCATTTGTCATCTAATGAGCTTAATTTTGGACTGCGCGTTCGTGTCGAGCTGAATGTTTGACGATTAAACTTTTTTTCAAGTTTTCTTGTTGATGGATACATTGTAAGAAAAGAAAACAGTATATCTGATATTGAACAGCCCATGGATGGTCAATCAGAGAATTAATATTGGTGCGAGGAAAAATAACGTGACCGATAGGTACCCTTTGGGAGCTTTTTTCGGCTGCGGGACATTGCTTTGTCGCTGCAGTATTAATCAACGCATGACATTGTACGCGTCGAGAGAGCTTAGAAATATTAAAGGTACAATACAGCTAAAAAAATTACGTGGTATTTTTTTGCTGTCTCTATTTTGAATATAAAATCACCGAGTGCGTGAAATTAAATGGAAAAAAAATAAAATTGTGTCGTCGTACTTCAAACCAAGACAAGTGTATTTTTTGCAACTTTAATACTTTTTCAGCTAATTTTTTGTTGTGAGATTGAAATTTCCAACTATTCCCAGATGAAAAATTGGCTTTTTTTCAAGGAAATCTGTGCCTTTGTTCTGGAACTCAATTGTATAAAACATTGGTACACAAAGTAATAGAAAAATAATAAAATCTCTGTACCACAAGTTATCGTGTTTTATTAAGACGAAGTTATCTATACAAGAGAGTTAATTATAAACGTAATGTAAGACAACAAAAACCACACTAATTACGATGAAAATCAAAAATTTAAATTTTACAAGGGTTTGCTGTTTATGCATTCAAATAAAATTTAAGGTATACCCTAGAGTACACAAAAACAGTGCATAATGAAAACCATCTCATTCGGGCGTCCGATGCGGTGTCCACTTCCGATTCCCATATCTCGGACAAATTTTCTCCTCGTGCATTTTCGCCACAGTGATGGGGAGTTCAGGGCGGCCCAACGGAGCGAAAACTCCTGTAATGCTGTCTGATGAAAAGTGGTCGGTCGAAGAGGGGGCCAAGGGAGCGAGACGCGGATTTGAATGCAAGAAAAAGACGAACGTGAGAAAAGTATGATTTCAAACACCCGTTTTTTTCGTTTTGCTACTGTTGCTACCTTTGCAACGCAAGGGGGCTTCCACAGGGAGGAAAGTAAAGTGAAAAGCTGCACTTTTTTCTCCCCCACGTAGCTCTCTCTCTCTCCCTCTTTTTAGAGTCATTTTGTATACATCGAGTTTAATATTGAAATGGCCGCTCTTTGATGTGTATACGTAAGCGCGTCCATGGGCTGACCCTTGATTTTAAATTAAAATACCAGCTTTTGCTGGTTTCATTCGGTAAATTTACTTAAATTTACGTTCGAGTATTTTAATTTTGCGACGTACGTGCATCGGGTACTTTTTTCCCCACAACGCAACTTGTAACCCAAAAATTTTACGCGAAAAGATAAAAACCATAAACATTTGCTTGTTCGCAAACCCGATACAACTCCATTTCGTAAATTGGAGGGCACGAGCTTCACTACACGTGTTATCTCTCGCTGCTACCTCGTTGAAGAAGATGTGCACGGACGACCCAGATGTACGCTGTAAACCCGCATAAAAGAAGAATAGGCTTCACGCGAAAGTAAAAACTTTGACGTCACCTTGCAGGGGGGAGCAAATTATTTTCCCACCCTATTTTTTTGTCTAGGTTTCCAGTACTCGTCTTTCACCCATATAGTCTCGCATCTACTTCTTTGATCACCTGCATGACCCTCTGCTCTGGAGGGTAATGTAATATTCCTTTGTAACGAAATAGGGCCGAAATTTCAAGGGACATATGTTTCTATATAACAGTGTACTGTTTTTCACGTTGGGGAGATATTGGTATTTTCTTCAGCATATCGTATCGTCATTACATTCACTACCATCGAATAGAGTCCTTGGCAATTTTTTGCGCGTATTATTTCGAAATTTTTAAAACGAATAATGTACATTGTCCAATAAAGCGTAACAAGTATTTTTCTTCGAAGGGAGGAAAAAAAAATTGGACTTGATGCAAAAAACGCTCGTTCCTTTATGAAACGTACCTATCGCATTCTGTTGAACAAACTGCATACTCTTTACACCCGACGATGCACAACATTTTATTTTTTTTTTTTCATCCCCGTCCGGACAACACAGTCCGAAAATAAACACTTTTATAACTAAGCACATTACAGTCGTCACTCCATTTCAGCGATTAAAAACAGCAACGAAATGTTTTCAATGGCTTTTGTTGCCCCTCAAAAGACAATTGTTTGCATCAAACTGCCCCATACCTCGAGAACGAGTCAATCCTTACAACAGTTATACAATTGTAAAAACTCGGCATTCTTCTGACTCTGTTTGCAATCTTCCGCATTAACAATTTTTCCAAAGAAAGGAAGGAAAAAGATGGCATGAACACGCGAATCTTGAGTTGCTTTTTCTTTCATTTTCGGCGATATAGTCTGAAAAGTTCACTCGACCAACGGTAGTAGTAGGCACAATAAATCCGAGGGAGTCGATTTTTAATTCCCTCGGTGTACGACGAGCCAAGCCGAAGCGCAAAGGCATTAGCGCGCGAAAAAGAATTTTAAAGTCGCCGAGGTAAATAAGAAGAAAGTTTCAGGGAAAAATCGGAGAGTAAAGTCGAAGAGTTTCCGTGGACTCTAGCCCCTTGGTGAAAAAAAAAAAAAGTCGGAGCCACAGCTCTCGAGGTAATTATTCGCGACGGCCGCGCACAGCCGAGTTCAATAGGTAGCCGTGTGATCGAGGAGCAGCCGGCCTCCCTCGGGAAAATCTCTTCTTCCCCACCTCATCCCTGAACAGAGAGACTCAACGAAGGAGGCCCCACCCCTAACTACCCTGGCGCTGTACCTCCACGTGTTATCCTCCCTCCGGTGTATAGGAATGTATGTAAGGAGTGTGGGGGTAGGATATAACCCGAAGGAGGGGATATGCAAATGAAATGAAATCCTTGTTGAACCTTTTCGTGGCACGAGCTCCCTGCGAAGCCTCTATTTTTATATTCGTTTCCTTTTCCTGGTCCGGGGCTTCTTGCCTCTGTACACGGGAGGAGCTCCGAATCGCGCTGTTAACGCTGCAGCTGCTCGGCTGATGATTTCTAATGGGCTCCCGCGTACGGCGGCCCGGCTATTTCCTCGGCCCTTCTTTTCCAGAGTGGCTCAATAATACCCGCGTTATCGGCCCTCTAACTTTTTATTTTACCGGCGATTGCCTTTTTTTTTCCTTTTACTTCGCGCTTTCCTTCCTTCTGTTTGTGCATAAATGGCCGTAGAATCGAATCGTCGTTATGCTAATTCCCAACTGGAGGGGGCATGGACTTTTATCGTATGGGTTGCTCTATTGAAAATTAAGATGAGTTTTTTTTTTTTTTAAGAAAAACCATTTTTTTTGGTTGCAGGCGGAGATCAAAAGTGGTGATATCGGCGGCACGACCGGAGGACAGCGGCAGGTACGAGTGCGTAGCCGAGAGCACTTCCGGTCACAGGGCTTCACTCGCGGCCCAGCTTCTAGTCTATCATGATACGAGAATTCCGGAGACCAGTAAGTATACGGGCCCATTTATATAACGTACCAACATTTTCTTTCTTTTTTTTCTTTCCATGATCGATTTTTAGTGGATTAGTCTCTTATGAGACGTCAATTTAACAATATGGCAATTTCGATCGATGGGACTCTTTGCGGATACATTTTTCTTCCAGTTCACCGGGTATTCAAAACGACGATTAGCGTGCGATGTAACACTTTGGCTGTTCTCAAGGCAGGCAGGGGTTGGTTTTACATGCTGCTTTTCTACTTGCGAACCGAAAATTCAAGCTAGTGCTCGCTGGTGCGTGAAAACGCGTTCCCTCGTCGCATGAGTTGTTTTCATTTTTGGCTCGATAAATTTGATCTTCCACGTGAAAAAGGAGGGATTAGTTTTTATTGGAAAAAGAAATGAAAATTCATCGATGAGGAAGCGAAAAATGTGTAAGCTTGAAAAATAAAAGCTCACCCTCACGCTTGTATTTACTCAGCCGTGAATACATAAGCCTGGTATTCAAATTCACGGCTCGAACGAGTATATATATATGTAAAAAAAAAAAATCTCGAAAATCGCGATTGTTAAACCCGTTCCTTCAAACAAATAATCAAATATCCGGGCACTCGTCGAGAAATTATCATACATTTGTGCTTTTGATAATCGCTGGCTCTTAATAACTTAAAAATCAAAAGCTCCGATCAAAATTTCCCCGACAGCTCCGGCAGTGGAAAATAATCATCGCTGCCCGGACTTTGTGGGAGAGTATTTTTAAAAAAATCGTTAAATCATCGAGAAACGCCCCGAAACGCGCTTGGAGTGTATAATGCGTTCCCTCGTACGATGGGAGAGGCGGTCGATTGGCTCGTTTCGGCGTGACGAGGAGAAAAAGAAAAAGCCGGCAGCACAATGAGGTACTGGGAGCCAGCGGATGCAGCTTGACCGCTAAAAGTGCAGAATCACTAACTCCCTCCCTCTCTCTTCGTTCTGAACGATATTTCCCCGAGCTTGCGTATATACACACGCGAGATCAGGCCGAGCCAATTTCCCAGGATACAATTTATCCTCCGCTCTCGTGTATCTCGTTCTGACTAGCTGGCCTGGAAAATTTTTTTTCCCTCCCCTTTTTTTTCACCCTCGTTCGATATCTTGTCTAGTGTTTATTTTCCTCCACCCCAGCCGCGCGTTCTTTCTATTTTTCCGCGCGGTGGAAAATTTATCATCATTAGAAATTAAAGTTTCGCGTTGTAACTTTTTTTTCTTTTTTTTTTTTTTTCACCTTCTCTCTGACAAAACCCGTATATATACCTTTGCAGTGCAACTCGGGGGGGGGGGGGGGGATGGGAATTATGCACGCGGACGACAAGCATAAAGAGAATTTAATGTTATTTTCAGAATCGGGCCTCCACCACGCCTGGGCTTTTAATTAATTTTTCACCGGGCTCCTTTGTCAAACGTATTTCTTTATTAATTTCCCGAGAAACGCATCCACCGGCTCCCTATTGAACTGCGGATCGTGCAGCGTCCGCGTTTCGTGTGCACGGAGAGAGCCCACCTATTAGACGGAGCTGCGTGTATCCGTGGGCGTGTCGCCTCCTTTCCCGTGTCCCGTCTCGTGTGAAGCTCCGAGCTTTCGGCTTTGACTTTCCCCCCCTTTTTTTTTTCTACCTCATCCCTTTCGTGTCAGTTGTTGTTGCAGGCGCGCTATTCCCGGAAGGGATCGGGTTGCAAGCTGGCTGCTCTTTTCGCCTCGCCGAACAGAGAGAGAGAGAGGTAATTTTGTTTCACACGTCGATACGGGGGACATTTTAATTAGCTCCCATTGTTCGCCAGCTTTTGACAAAGAAATCGAGACGGGAACTCTTTGGTTGTACGCTAATAAGAGAGCCATGACTATTAAAAAAATGTGTGTTTCGTGCGGTACGGTTTGACGAAATCAGTCGCAAGCTCGGGTCCGTGTAAATTGGCGAAACGAAGGCGAGGCAATCTCGTAATGGCACCGAGAGGCGCCGGTATGGAAGCGTCAAGTGTGGAAGTGGCGTTGATTTGAAAGCAAAGTCATTGTTGGAAAATACGTGTCAGTAAGCCGAGGCTGGAGCAAGCTCAGGGCCGCGATTTCTCGGGTGATGGGGCACGTCGACGGCAACGTTTTTTCGAAAAAGTATACAACAGACTTACGACGAATATTCTCATCGAAGGAGCTTATGTTTTCCAAGCAAAGATGTAAAAGCGGGTCACGAGTGATTTCACGTGAGGTCGACACGTGTATCGATGTAGTAACATTTTTAGTTTATTATAGTAGAGAAAAAAAAAAAGATCGTGAATGAGAGAAGACAATTAAATCAAGCATCCGGTTTAATTATAAGAGAATCCCGAGCGAGAGCACATTCGAAGCCGAATTAGCATTTTAATGAAGTGCTACCGCGGAGAGCGGTAAAGCTCCCTCGTATTAGCCGAAACGGAAGAGAAGAAAGGCAAGTATATGACCAAAAATCCGCGCGAGCGAGACAACTAAAAATAGTAGCCCAGGAGGGTGAGGCAAAATAAAACGTGTCCAGTTTGCGCGGGCAGATGGGCGGAGGGGTGGGGGGCGGTCTCATTAAAATGTTCATGAATAAAAAAAGCTCCGGTCCACCGCGACTTCTTCATTTGTCTCGTAGGGCATGCTCGCTCCGTCGCTCCATAGAAAATAACCCCCTCTCGCTGCGCTCCCGATGTCCATGCACACACACACACACACACACACTCTCATGTGTACCGCTTTTGCATACATTTTCTCCCCGCCCCTCTCTTTCTTGAGTCTATTGCTCTCGGAGTCGTAATAAAAGCGGCGTCGTCGCTCCGTGCCCAAGTTACGCTATTGCGAAAATGCTCGAGCGGTCACGCACCCCCTGCGCATTCCAAGCTGCTCGTGGGTGCTAGCGCATGAGAGGCTGGGGCTTTTTTTTCTTTTCTTTTTTTTTTTATTTTTTTTTTTTTTTTTTTTTTTTTTTTTTGAAAAAAAGGGAAAAAGCAGCAGGGGGTGGTGGTGGTGGTTGTACATGCAACCCCGGACTCGCCACTTTTTACCCTCGGATCTCTCCACTCAGACGGCTTTCGCTGTCGACGAGAGGCGAGTTGCTCTGTATATTACTGGGCTACGGCGTATAAAGAAAGAAAAAAAAAAAAAGATAGGGGGAGAGCCGAGGGCGCAAGACTCGAGTGAATTTTCTTTGCGAATCATTACGCGGAAGTCACGTCCAAACACGCGCTCTTGTGTCCTCTTAAAATGACGATACCCGACTTTCTCCCCCTCGGTGACTACGACGCTTTCAAAGATTTATCTTTCCTCGCGATCGCTCTTTTAATTTTTCTGCACCGCAGCTTTGGATAGACAATCAAGTTTGAATAATTGTGCACGAGTGATATGATAAGACGACGTGTCAGCTGGATAGTATGTAAGACGCGAACAACACCGCATCCCCTTGATGACAATTAGCCTCCGTTTCCACGGCTTTATACTCGTTGGCGGTATAGCTAACGAATCCAACCCCGATGTGCATACAGACGCGTATTCTCGGATGAACCTTCTGGCGACCCAAATAAGAAATACCTGCACAGCAACGATGCACCATGTACAACCAATCAGAGAGAGAACAAATGCATATACATAACTATGATGATGATGATAGTCAATGTGAAGCTATGCACCCCACTGGTGCACACACCCGATTCATAATACGCTCCGTTGAGGTTGTATATACACACAGACCGAAGCATATAATACCGCTCATCAATGCCTCAATTACAAGGAGGATAACGAGTAGGTGTGGAGGTGGGGGGGGGGTGAAAGTCACGGGGAGAAATGCGCCCCGACAAGCCACTAGTCTATATACGCACCATATCCCTAGAAACAAGCCATCTCCCCCCGTTCATGAACTCGTGCTCATTACGTGCAGAGAGGGTCGGATATCGGTCCCTACCCACCACCAGCAGCAGCAGCAGCAGCAGCAATAACGACCCGGGAGTCGCGAGCGACAAGTGGATTTAGTGCGCCGCTGACAATTAATCTCATCAAGCCGGCCCGGGCCACCGGCTGAATTATTGTTATACATCGACTGGCCGCCGATAGATGGGACGGTCCTGGCTCCCTTGGGGGTGCGCGTGAAGGATGAGAAGGGCAGTGCCCGGCCATTGTTGGGTCCGAGGAGACTGCTGAGATCTCTCCCTACCCCTCTCGATGTACAACTTTGCCTTCGAGTTCTCGGGAGGAGTTCTGATTGGGCCGATTGTGCGAGGGAGGCGGACCGCCGGTTTATTTGCGCGTTTTCGGGAGGACTTTTGTAAATTATGCGCCGCATTTTACGCGATATCGCATTGCTACAGCCTCGATGAGGCTGACGAAAATATGTATGGAATGTATATGGCTTATGTAACTTTGCTTTGTTACTGATTGTACGTCTAGTCCCCTTGTTTTTTTTTTTTTTTTTTTTTTTTTTTTTTTTCTTTTTTTTTGGAAAAGCACGTAACGAACACCCCATGAAAGTTACCCCGTACGAACTTTCCCAGCAAGCAGAACAGTGAAAAAGTCAAGGGGAAGGTGAAGAATGTAGCGCGGCGCGCAATCGACGCTCCAAAGTGTCAACAGCTCGGCGCGCATTGTGTTCCCAGGCATTTGGCAACAATGGATACCACACACCTCCGAGCCCCTGAGAGCATAAGAACGCCGATACACCGAGCCGCCGTGTAGACATTACCTCGATATCTCACGTTCGGGGAGGGGGTTGGGAGACCCGCCCACCGCAGGAGCTACTTAGGGCCGTGTTTAATGCACGAGCCCCAGCCACTGCATTATTATCGAGGCTGGAACCAGAAAAAGCACTTAATCTTCGATTTACTTCGCCAACGAACTTCGGGGGGTTATTATACTCCTGATACCCTGGAAACTGGAAATTCTCGCTTATTACAGTATACGTAGCGGGGCTTCGATGGAATATATATATATA